TCTTGAGATGGTCTTTAAATTAAGGTAGGATATATTTAATTAAATTAAAGGTCAGATTTTGGCTCTTGTGGACTTGCTGTAATTTTCTTCAGCTTCAACTTGAACTTGCATAAGAGCAATTGATGGTCTCTTCCGCAGTTGGCCCCTGGTCTTGTTCTGACTGATGATACTGAGCTTCTGTATTGTCTCTTTCCACAGATGTAGTAGATTTGATTCCTGTGTATTCCATCTGGTGAGGCCCCCGTGTATACTTTCTGTTTATATTGTTGAAAAAAATTATTTGCAATGAAGAAGTCATTAGTCTTGCAAAATTCTGTTATGCGGTATCTGGCCTCGTTTCTATCACCAAGGCCCTATTTTCCAACTACTGATCCTTCTTCTTTGTTGCCAACTTTCTCATTCCAATCACCAGTAATTATCAATGTTTCTTGATTGCATGTTTGATCAATTTCAGACTTCAGAAGTTGGTAAAAATCTTTAATTTTTTCATCTTTGGCTTCAGTGGTTGGTGTGTAAATTTGATTAGTAGTTGTATTAACTGATCTTCCTTGTAGGCATATGGATATTATTCTATCACTGACGGTGTTGTACATCAGGATAGATCTTGAAATGTTCTTTTCACAATGAATGCACCACCATTTCTCTTCAATTAGTCATTCCCAGCATAGTAGAACATATGATTGTCTGATTCAAGATGGCCAATACTAACCTGTTTCAGCTCACTAATACTGATTCAGAATGGCCAATACCAGTCTGCTTCAGCTCACTAATACCTAGGATATTGATCTTTATGCGTTCCATTTCATTTTTGATGACTTCCAATTTTCCTAGATTCATACTTCGTACATTCCACGTTTTGATTATTAATGGATGTTTGCAGCTGTTCCTTCTCATTTTGAGTCGTGCCACATCAGCAAATGAAGGTCCCGAAAGCTTGACTCCATCCATGTTATTAAGGTCAGTTCTACTTTGAGGAGGCAGCTCTTCCCAGTTGTATTCTGAGGGGCTTATCTTCTGGTCCTGTATCAGACAATGTTCTGCTGCTATTCATAAGGTTTTCACTGGCCAGCTTTTCTCAGAAGTAGGCCGCCAAGTCCTTCTTCCTAGTCTATCTTAGTCTGGAGGCTCTGCTGAAATCTGTCCATCATGGGTGAGCCTGCTGATATTTAAAATACTGGTGACAGTAGCTTCCAGCATCACAGCAACATGCAAGCCACCACAGTATGACAAACTGACAGATGAGTAGTAGTCTCCATACTGAGTCCTGGGGTTATCTCATTAAGTGTCCAGGCTTTAAATACCATCTATAAGATGACTCCCAAATTTATATCCCAGCCCAGACCTCATTCATGAACTTCAGGTTTGTATATCTAACTGCCCACATAACATTTTCATTGTGTTCTGATAGTTATCTCAAGCTTAACATATCCACAACTGAACTACTGATCTTCCTCCCCAAATCTGCTATGCCCAGAGCCCTTCCCAACTCAGTTGACAGCAACTCCATATTTCCAGTTGTTAGTTGCTTCGGCCAAAAACCTTAGAGTCGTCCTTGACGCCCCTCTGTCCTCTCACACCTCACATCCAGTCTTTAAGGAAATCTAGATTTAATTAGAATAAAAAAATCCAGAATCCTACCACTTCTTACCACCTCCACTGGTCCCTCTTTGGCCTAAACCCTCATCACCTCTTGTCTGGATTACTGCTGTAGCCCCCACGCTTCTATCCATGACCCTCTACAGACTGCTTTCAACAGAGCAACCAGGACAATCCTTTTAAAATGGAAGTCCAGTCATGGTGCTCCTGCAGTAGCTTCCCATTTCACTGCACTGGACAAATTACTTAATTTCTCTGTGCCTCAACTGTATAAAAGAGAATAATACTAGCACATTTGTCAGGAGGTCATGGGATTCAATGAGGTAATGTACATGAAACACTTAACAACCAAGGCTGGTTCATAGAAAATAATGATATTTAGTTGTTGTTGTTCTTATTAGTTTTCCAGTGAACCCTCCAAATCAGAAGCCCTACTTTCATCTCCTCATCATTCCTCTTCAGTGCTTGAGGTGAGAGGGTTCTGTAGAAAGGTCTGGATTCTGGGTACCTAGCTCATTGCTCTCAGGCAGAATCCACAGTCCTTTAGTGCCAGAGAGTAGTATGTCCAGAAACACTGTTCATTTAAACAAAGGAAATTCCATTCCTCGCTTTGCTGTTTTTATAAGCCAAGTAGTACTTGGTTTCCAGGGCTAAATAGGAGTTGCTTTGTCATTGGAAGTGTTGTTTTGCCAGTTACAAATTACTTCCTAAAAAAAAAAAAATCTATCTTGAGGCTAGCTGAATGGTGCTACTACTAGCCATGAGTGATGCTATCTTATCTTGATATATATTATATTAGTTTTCTATTGCTACGTTAAAAATTGCCAAATTTTAGCAGCTTAAAACACACATATGTCATCTCCCAGTTTCTGCCGGCTGGAAGTCTGGACATGGCTAGCTGGGTCCTCTGCTTAGGAACTCCCAAGACTACAGTCAAAGTTTTGGCTGACTTGTGTTCTCATCTGGGGGCTCCATTAGGTAAGCTCCACTTCTACGCTCACTCAGGTGGCTGGCAGAATTCATTTCCTTGAAGCTGTGGGAATGAGGGCCTGGCTTCTTACTGGCTGTAGCTGGAGGCTGCTTTCAGCTCCTAAAGGCTGCTTACAGTTTCTAAAGGTCACCTACAGTTTCTACGATATGAGCTTCCCTAATATGTCCACATACTTTATCAAGCCAGCAAGGACTAGAAAAGGCTAGAGCAAGTCTGTGAGCAAGAGTTACATAATTATGGAAGTGACATCCCATCACTTTTGCTAAATTCTGTGAGTTAAATACAAATCACAGGTCTTGTCCACAATCAAGGGGAGGTGATTTTACAAGGGTCTGGATACCAGGAGATGAGGATAATGGGGAGCCACTCTAGAGTCTGTCCAGCACACACATGGATAAATCAAAATTAGCTACAGGGAAAAGAAAGGCAGAGAGAGCATCATAGTATGTATGATCACAGACATCTGTATTATAATATTAATGAACTATAAAACAGAATCTAAAACATGGCTTTAGTGGGTACTTGGGTGTTACCAGTAAGGTGACTCAGCAGAGTTCCCTTTTTATTCCACTTGCTTAGTAGTTTACACGTACCTTATTGTATCTGCTTGCCTATACTTGGTTGTGTTGACAATAAATTAATGTGATAATTAAAAAAAAAAAAAATTAGTTCCTAGCTTTTGAGGCATTTGTTCCCTGTGGGATAATGAAGGGAGGAAATCCCCAGGCAACTTCCCACTTCTTCTTTGACTGAACATTTTATCTGATGTCTTCTCTCACCCCTTTTGATATTTTTATTACATTTGTGATACCACATACTTTTTTTCCCTTCATATAAGCCATACCTCTCTGGACTTATTAGTACCAGGAAGGAACATTTAGCATTTTATGTTCCGACTCGTATTCTCCACCATGCTTCGCTGGTTTTTATAACCAAGCAAAAAGAGAAAGGAAAATTTAACCGTAAGACTTGCTAATGGTAACATAAAATACAAAGTCCTTGATGTAGAAAAGAGCACTGAACTGGGGCCTTCTGAGCCTCGCTCTGCCACTAACTAGCTCTGTGACACCCCTGAGTTTAAGTTGAATCTTCTGTCTGAATTCTAGCAGAAGAGACTGAAAGAAAGAAGATTCTGTTTTTGAGAGTCTGAGAGGACATGAGGAAGATAAGAAAAGTTTCTAGGGGACCTAACCCACGAACAAATGGAGGAGGGACTGGGGCAACCAAACTTGGTCTGGTTGTAAAGCAGCCAGGCCACAAAGCCTCAGGCCTGAGCAGCTTCTGCCCCATCGGCCTGGAAGGGGGGATGGGGGCGTAGGGGGGTGGAGAGAAAAGGAGGGGACCTCCCACTTTTTTTTTTCTTTTTAAGATTACCTTGGCATATTCTTGACACTTTGCATTTCCATGTAACTTTTACAATTAACTTGAAATTATCGTCCCTCCTTTAAAAAAAAAATGCTGCTAGAATTTTGATTGGCAATCCTTTGAGGAGAATGGGCATCTTTACTATACTGAATTTTGTAGTCCCTGAGAGTGATCTCTCTCTCTTTTTATTTGGGTCTTCTTTAATTTCTCTTAATGATGTTTTATAATTTTCTGTGTAAAGGTCTTCACATTTTTTATTAGATTTATTCTTAAGTATTTGGTAAGGTTTCTTTTTAATGTTACTGTAAATGGTTGCGCAGTGGTTAAAGCGATCGACTGCTAACTGAAAGGTTGGCAGTTCGTAACTACCATTGACTCCATGGGAGAAAGATGTGGCAGTCTGCTTCTGTAGAGATTTACAGCCTTGGAAACCCTGTGGGGTCGCTGTGAGTCGGAATCGACTCGACAGCAGTGGGAATAAATGGTATTATTTAAAAAAAAAAATTTCCTAATTACTTACTGCTAGTATTAGAAATAGAATTGTTCTTTATATACTGACAAGTATAAATTTTTTAACTATAAGATTTTACAAGGCTAAAAAGTATGTATCATTTTAAGAACCATCTAATATGCATATCATCATGGAAATACTGGGTAAATTGAAAAAAGTAACCTTGTATTAAATCCAGAGTTGTAATGTTGGAGAATTCCAAAGGAAACCAGGAGGGGCCTGTTCCTAAGCTGTGTGAGTTCTATGTTGGTTGCTTGAGAGAGATTGCCTAGGGCTTGCTTTCTCTGAGAATGTCGGGATGCTTTTTTCTCTTCTTCAGATATTCTGGGCCCTCTCCCAGCCATCCCACACTGGGGAACACTCAGGCAGATGAGGAGCAGGAGGGATCGGAGTGAATGGAGATCTCACCAGGCTTCCCTCCCGTCTTAACGCTCACCAGGGATGAGCAGTAAGCCTGTCCAACGTCAGGCATTGCAGCGTGCTGACGTGGTGATGACAGTGCTGCTGCCTTAAACTCATACTGCTTTGTTTTTCCAGGTCTTTAAAGGAGAATTTCAACTACCTGACTTTCTTAAAGAACAGCCCCAGGTATGGTATCTGCCTCCTCTTCTTGCATAACAGATAGACTCTTGCATTGAAATAATCTGTTTTAAGAGATAATGATATGTGCTCATGGTAGGAAGATTGGCCTCTGATAATTGTTGGTTTTTAACAGTAATTCAGCTCACAGTCTTAGTTTCAGAGAGCTCATTGTTTTCTAAAACTAGGGCAATACTTTATTGATAACAAAAATCCAAAGGCTTGAGATCACTCTCAAGCCACAACAGTATTCCACATCCAAGAATCTGGCCTTGGTGATCTGCTCCAGCTTCTGATACCTGACTTAAAATAAAAATGTACAGCCCCCTTCTTTGTTCTTATTTCATATCCATCCATGGTTTTTTAACTTTTCTCTATTTAGAGCCTAGAAGACTTGTGAATACATTTATATACACGGCCATTGACCCTCAACTATAAAGTCCCCCAAGTTGGTGAAAGGATGCTGAGAGTTGAAGCTTGTAACTTCTGCTTTTTAAAACAGATTCAGTTATCCCTGTAATTGCACCCTCTAACTTCCCAGCATTCCGATATTGTTTCTTGAGTTAAAGAGAAACGGGGAGTGAGAGTTAGGACTGGCCTGCCTAGAGGAGCTCGCAGAATGCTGTGCATCAAGCAGCTCTTCCATTCCCAGGTCCTCACAGGAGAGGAATTGAGAATCACTGGTTGAGTGCAGCAGCGACATCCCTTCTAGCACAGTGATCGTGCGATTGCCTCTAAGCTGTTGCCACCAGAGATCAGCTTGGTAACAGGAAATGAAGGCTTGGCACTGGACTCAAGTTCTAAAGAATGTTCCAGATGTGGCTTAGTGAGGGAACTGACCACCTCACAGACTCTGGGTAAAGTCTGCAGCAAGCCTGGCATAAATGGGCCAGCCTCTCTAAGAGACACTGTGTCTCATACCAGGGATGAGGGCTCTGTCATTCCTGAAGTGAGTGAATTCTCTCTGGTAACAGTGAGCCATCAATAATTGGTACGTATTATGTGAGAATATCAAATTGCTTTCAAGGCACATTCTTAACAGCATATATACAATTTTAATCCATCCATTCATTTATTTCATTTATTCAACAAATATTTACTGTATCTATTATGAGTGAGGAATTGGAATGAGTCCTCAGGAATCAAAGATACAAAAGATCTTTTCTGGGCTCAAGGAACTCCTGATCTATCTGGAAGACTGATCAACTCTTGCAGACAACAGGGTGTAGGGTCCTGGGCCCAGGTTGGGGCATCATGTCCCAGAAACCTGGATGGATTCATGATTGGGGGTCAGTCACTTATAGGCTGTGGTAATTGGAGCCAGAGGATAATACAAGAGGCAGAGTCTTGAAAGAATATCAAATACGTAGGAAGAATTTGGGAATAGATTGGGTGATGGTTGAACAACATGGTGAATGAAAGTTAATGTCACTGAAGTGTACGTAGGAAGACTGTCAAAATGGCAAATGTTTTGTTACATATCTATTTACCATGATTTTTTTTTTTTTTAAAAAGACTGGTTTGCATAAGTCTGAAGGAGTGAAGAAAGGGGATTTGAGACTAAAACTAAAGGAACACCCCCACCTCACAGCACACACAAAAGCCATTTCCAGGTGGATTTGCAGAGCTAGATGTGAAAAGTAAAATAATAACGTTTTTAGAAAATAATAGAGGAGATATCTTCATGACCTTAAGAGGGAAGATTTTTCAAACAAGACATAAAAAGTACTAATCAATAATTTAAAAATTGATAAGTTGAACTACATTACAATGAAGAATTTTTACTTATTAAAAAGTATCATAAAGAGAGTGAACGAGTAATCCTTAAGTGGGAGGAGATATTTGAAACAAAGGACCCATCTGTGGAATCTGGAGAATTCCTACAAACCAATAAGAAAACGTCAGTTAAAAACCAGACAGAACACTTCACAGCCCTTCACTCTGGTTAACATCACTTCACACATCACACACGCACATATTTAGGAAAGGACCTATAAAGGATTTTATTTTAACTTCTAATAAATGAGAAGAGCGCATAGAGCTTCCGTGAGTTGTTTGCTGTCACACAGCTTGTTGTTGGCAAATGAAGAAAAAGTCCAGGTGTCCTCATGCACAGCTCAGTGCCTTTCCAGGCCCCCAGGACACCCCAGGTTTCCCTGCAGTCTCTGTGCCAGTTGCCATATCCCGATCCATGCTATCACTGTCGGCTCTGTTTCCCTCCAAAACCTGCTTCCTGGGAATTAAAATCAGCCTCAAGATTTATTGTGAACATAAGTAGTCATGTTATCTAACCCAAAGGGATGTACCTTTTAAACTGCTGTCTAAACGTTGAATAAATTTTTTTTTCCTCATTAAGGGAATTTGAAGAATCAGAGAATGGAGGAGGGGGGAACAGTGACTATTCTGCCCACTTGTAAGAAAACCCATTTACTGTGTCTTACCCTCCATACTGCCACCAGGTGGTACAAATATGATTACAGATTTCTGAAGGGTCCCCTTGGTTTTTAGGACAAAATCCAAATACCTTAGAAGGTTCATCATGATTCCCCTCAGCCTTCTCTCATTAGCCTTCTTTCTCAGTCTCTCTCTTTTCTCCAGCCATAGCCACCTGATCTCCTCTACTCCCATCCTTTACACTTCATTTTAGAAGTAAAAACAGCAAGTGTAAACAGTGGTTTAAACATATTTAGATTATTTTAACTGTGTTTACAAAAACAAGATAAAATCTCATTAAGTGAGACCAGTTGGAAAAGCCTGATACTAATAATAGAAGTTCAAAATTATAGAATCTTTGTGCAGTTTTATATTGTAAAATATACCACACCTTCTAAACAGTGATTCTATAGAATCTGGTTCAAAGAATAGAAAAGACAGTTTTCTTAAAAATTCTCAAATATGTGACAACATAGAAAATGCTTAAAATATAATGTTAAGTGAAAAATGATGGGTACAAAACTGAAAATGCCCCCACTCTGGAAAAAAAAAAAAAGCCTTAAAAAAATTACTGGGAAGACTTATTTGGATGACAGGGCTTTGGTTTTATTTTTCTACTTTTCTATATTTTACAAATTCTCTCCACGACCTTGCATTTTTTATATAATTTCTAAAAATCAGTGTTAAAGAAGTGGGTTATCTTTAGTAAAACATACCTTCAAATCCTGTTTTTTATACTACTAATTATTGAGTTAACAAAACCTTTCTTCCCAGATGCTTTGAAGACAGATCTCAACCCTGGTTGAATAGTTGCAATGTACAAAGTACTGTTGTTTCAGTGAGGGGCCTGACTCTCCCTGAGTCAGTTAACCAATAGCTAGATATTGGAGCCCTTTGTAGATTTTAAGTGATGGATGCATTTTCCGGGGGGGTGGGGGGTGGAAGGGTGGGTGGTGGCCAGCTGAGCTCATTGGTGAGTCTGTGAGCAGAGCCTGCAAGCTCCACCCGCTGTTCAGGAGGGCAGTCACTTCTTGTGCCGACCAACTTCAAGGACTTTAAACCATATTTTGCTTCCTTCAACAGACTGAGCAAGTGGAGTAGCAGTGCCAGGAACTCTGTGATCACAAGGTGAGGTTGGGGCGTCGCTGGGCCTTCGGCTTGCCTTCTTTGGGCTATATGAGGAAGCGGTGTATCAGGAGTGGAGAGCCCAGCTCCGGGGTCAGCAGCCTGGTTGGAATCTTGGTGTTGTCTCTTACCAGTCATGTGGCATTGAACGAATTGCTTAACCTTTCAGTGTCTTTGTTTCCTCATCGGTAAAATGAAGATAGTATTAATAAGAGAGGGGTGATGAGAATTAACGTCTACAAAAAGCCTGGCACAGAATAAGCACTCAAAAAGAGTTAGTTGTTATTTTCATTATGAAGAGGAATCTAAAATGATTGAGCCACCTGTTTTCTGATAAGGAAGCTCATCCTAGAGAGAGCAGCTTATTTGCCAAATGCCAGGGTCACATCACAGAGGTAGGGGACACCCAGGGCTAAAGAACACCAGCTCGTAACTGGAGCTCTCTTCCATTGCTGGTGGGAATGCAAAATGATGCAGTTGCTGTGGAAAACAGCTTGGCAGTTCTTCAAAAAGTTAAACATATAATTAGCATATGACTCAGCAGTTCCACTTCTAGGTATATACCCAAAAGAATGGAAAGCAGGAATGCAAATAGAAACCTGTACACCAGTATTTGATGCAGCATTGTTCACAATAGCCAAAAGGTGGGAACAACCAGAATGTCCATCCACAGATGAATGGATAAAACAAAATGTAGCATGTACACACAACGGACTATTACTCAGCCATAAAGAGAAATGAAGTCTCAATACATGCTATGACATGGATGAACGTTGAAAACATTATGCTGAGTGAAGTAAGTCAATCACAAAAGGACAAATATTGTATGATCTCACTTATATGAAATATCTAGAATAGGCAGATGTATAGAGACTAAAGTTTATTAGTGGTTATCAGGGATGGGATTGATGGAGAAAGGGGGAGTCATTGTTTAGGAGGCAATGAGTTTCTGTTTATGGTGATGGGAAATTTGGCAATGATTCTGGGTGATGGTGGCACAACATGATTAATGTAATTGATATCACTAAATGGTACATGTGAAAAATGTTGAATTGGCAAATGTTGTGTGATACATACTTTTACAACAGCAACAACAAACAGAACACCATCTCTCCTGCCTTCCACCCAGAGCTTCTCCCACCACCCCATGCTGCTTTCTCTGTTTAAAGGACATTAGTAGAGGGCCGGACTTTGAGGGTTTTTTTGAACTAATATTTTTTTTGGTTGGTTGGTTGCTTTTTCAAATCTGCCCTTGCTGATGTTAATGCATCATGGTGACTTGTGTTTGTGAGCTCCGTTGTCTCATCGTAGCTAAGGGCTGCAGTGTAGGCTGGCCCAGCCATGCCCCATAAGCCCGTTTATATCTGACAAGTCATCAAGTATCTGTCCAGGGATACCAGCTAGTCAGTGATGATGTGTAGTCAGAGCTCCCTCCCGTCTCCCACACTTCCTTAAGATTCTGTTTTGCTCTGAAAGATAGGACAATGCCATTTGGAACTTGAAAAGCTTTTTAAAAATCTAATACTGATTTTTTTCTTACAGTTGTGCATGCTGATTTTTATTTTTATTTTAAGGAATAATCATGTACTGAGTGCATACTCCGTACTAGGCATAAAATGCCAAGCATTGTATAAACATCTACTCCTCACTGTCTCCTTATCTGATATTTCGCAATTACGACGATAGTAAAAAATCTACTATCTATTTTGCACATTAATAACGTATGTCTGGTCTTTCTTGACCAGTGGGACGTACAGTGCCCACCTACATTTTCTGCCCTTCAGGTCCAGTGGGGCATATGTGTCCCACACAATATTTTCTGATCCAATGTCATCTCCTCCATTCTCATGTAATGCCGATTTTCACATAACAGCCTGGGCTTGGGAACCTAACTATGTCGGTAAGCGAGGAGTGGGTATATATATATTTATAAAATTTCATTCTGTTCTTAAACTGCTCTGGAAAGTAGGTTATATTATTCCTATTGTACTGATGAGGAAATTGAGATTGAATTATTTGAAGAAGAGGCTTTTGTGGCTTACTGTGTGTTAATGTTAATGGAGTAGATAGACGAGACATAGAACACTACTATACATGTCTGAATCACAATGGCAGAGGCTTATAATATTGATAGGGTTTATGGTTGCCTCTTCCGTTAAGGTGTAAACACTGAATAGTAGCTTTACACTGTCTGGGCATGCATACAGAGCTGCAGTTATCAGTCCGTGGGTAATTTTACTTACCTAAAGTGCTTCCAGGAGCCGTAGTGGTATAAAGGTTAAGCCCTGGGCTGCTAGCCGAAAGGTTGGTGATTCGAACCCACCCAGCAGCTCCGTAGGAGAAAGGCTTGGCAATCTGCTTCCATAATGATTACAGTCTAGGAAACCCTATAGGGCAGTTCTGGTCTGACACATGAGGTCACTATGAGTCAGAATTGACTCGATGGTAACTAACAATAACAAAATGCCTCCAAGATTTATAGGTAAATTACCCCAAACACACCCGCGGGGATTCCTTGATCGACCAGCCGTTTCACAAGCTAGCACACACTGTCAGCTGACCCAGCCCTCGAGTTATCTCCGCAGCAGTATGTCATCCTTATTGCTTGTGGAGGCTGGTACCACATGCAGTGGGGAGGACGCAGGAGAAGCTGCACTTAGAACAGATACCAGTCTTCTTTTTGTCTTCTTGGTCCCTTTGGCGTTTGAATGGCAGTCACTGGGTTTTCTAAAGCTTCCTTTCCAGAAGCCCAGGATCTACCGTTTCAAATGATGAAGAGCCAGTGTGACCTGGGGCCTCTAGACATTTCACCTCCCCTTCCCAGTGCCCTACAGTGGCAGCTGACAGTCACCACCATTTGGGAGGGGACTGGAGGAGCCCTGCTTTGGCTGCCAGCTGAAGCACCGCAGACTGAGGGAAGGCGGCCCCGGGGCAGTCCTGAGACACCTGTTCACACAGCGGGCCATGCTCCTGCCCTCTGCACTGGGTGTGGAAGCCACGGCCCCTCACTGTGTCTGGGGCCCATAACGTGCTGGTGCAGGGAGAACGGACACCTATAACCTCACTCTGTTTGTTTGCCCTAGGAGAGACGGTTGCCTTTTCATCGGACAGGAAATGTCTAGGACTGGCTGTCCCCTGCTGCTGTCAGTGGGTGTCTGTACCATGGGTGCATCTCCAGTCCCTGGCCCCGAGACGGGGAGTCAGTGCACCAGGGCCTCTGGTGGGCTGCCTCCCCGGTGGATCCCATTACAGGCACAGCCTGTGGATAAGGAGCCCCAGGGGACACGTGCTTTCTGTTCAAATTGCTCTTGTCCTTGTCTTTTCTTACCAGGTTCCAAAGTTTGTTTTCAAGGGGAGGGTTTAAAAATGGGATTCTGTAAACGAAACTGGGCTGTTTCATTTTGGAATAGATTGTACGTGTTCTAATGTTTTGTAGCACCCTTGTGCTTGTTGAAATGTGTTGATGTGGATAATGTTAAATATCTTAATTATTTAAGTAATTCATTGTATGTTGGGGAGTTACTGGATACATTTACAACTTAATGACTTTTGTATTTTATTTTTCAAAATAAAAGCTTTAAATGTGAAGCATTTTAGTCATTTACATGTTTTCTTCGTGATTTCAGAGAAGCAGTAGAACCTTATCCGATGGTGAACTAATAAGCAGTTTCTTCAGGTTGCTGTATTGTAGATATTCCCCTTGATGCATCCTGATTGCTTAATGACATTTCACTGTCATTTATTTCAGAGACCTGCTGCCTTCCATTTGTCTCAATGCTGTTCTTCTGTTGCGTGCTTGCATACTATATTTAAGGACAGAGAAGTTCTGTTCCCAGCTGTTTTCCAGAAGCCATTGTTGGAGAGCACAGAATGACTGGATAACAATAACTCCCAGTTACTGACTGTGTTCTGCATACACATTATCATCCCTGCCCCAAAACCGTGCCTCCTCTAATCTTATCCATCTCAACAATTGCAGTATTTTCTACCCAATCATTCAAGCCTGAAACCTAAGAGTCATACTTGATTTCTCCCTTTTCCTCCCTCTTCCCACCCACACACAAGTGTCTTTGAGTCTACCTTCAGAATATTTCTTGAATTCATCCACTTCTTTGCCCCCACCTAATCTACGACATCACCATCTCTCACCTGGACTGTTGCAATAGATCACCTCCTAAATAATATTACCATTCCAACTCTTGCCCCCCTCAAGTCTGTTCAGCACACAGCAAAGTAATCGTTCTAAAATACACATTGGCACATAATCTTCCCCCATTTAAACTTTTCAGTGGCTTACTATTTCCTTTAGAATAAAATCCAGTCTCCTCCCAGGACTCAACTACTGCCTCCTCCCACCTCACCCCAGGCCACTCTTCCCTACCCCACCTGGTGCTCCTGGGGCTTGGCATTTCCTGGAACGTACCAAGCCTTTTCCTGCCTCCAGGCCTCTGCACGTGTTATTCCTTCCCCTGGAATGTGGTTTTCTTTGCTCTTTGTATGGCAACCTCCTTCTGAACTCTACAGTCTCCGTAAGTTGTTAGTCCTCAGAAACTTTCCCTGACCTCTTGAACTGAAAAGTAGATCCCCCTCCTGCCTACCTTCTTGAGAGTACTTACCACACTTCACATTTGTTTATTTACTCACTTCATTATTGTCTCTCTCCTGCACTAGATGGTAAGCTTACAGAGAACAGAGGTCTCTTCTTGTCCCTTTTTTAATCCCTGGCACCTAGCGAAGTGTCTCGTACATTCTAGGAACCCAGTAAAATACTTAGTGAATGGATTAATGCTCCCAGGAGCCTTCTGGCATACCGTTTTACAGGTGAGGAAACAGAAGCCTGGCCAGGTGAAGCCAAGGCCCCCTGGTGACCTGGTACTCAGACCCAGGTGCTCTTCTTTCCACTCCATCCCCCTATCCTCTTCCATTTAAAATAAATGCCGCTGCCACATCTATCCTGTGTTCAGCACTACTTCAGTCACTCCTTTGCTAAAAAACTTTTGATTCTCTACACATTGTGTCTAGACTGTTCTGCCTCCACATCATGGCCTCACTGCTCCCTCATACAATACACTTCCTCCCTGTCTCCCCACATGCCCTTCCCTGTCTGCTTTCTCCAGATGCCCAGACACCCAGTCTTCTCCCCTCTACTTAGGAAACTCCAGCTCATTGAGAGCTCAGCTCTCTTCTGTCCCATTTCTGCACAAAGCCTCTCTCAACCTTTCCAACCTCCAAATAGCAATAAAGTCAGCTTCAGCATAACAGAATATTTATTTTTCTTTGCTTGTTTCCTATGTTAGTCTTAAGTCGTCAGCTTCGTGGGAAGGGGCCCTCTAGGGCCTCTCAGAAAGGGAAGGGAGAACATCTTTAAAACATCACTCACCTCGATTCTAATCCTTGCCGCTAGGCGAACATACGATTTTTACTCCCCAAATCCGCGCACTCCTAGAGAATCCACTGTAACGAGGAGTATGCTGGAACCAGAGAAGGGCAGAGAACCACTACACAGACTGGCTACCTCAGGACATAGACAGATCCATTCATAGCTGGCCTGAAGGAGCTGAAG